CAGGCATTGGTGACATTCGCATCTTACATGCTACATTACCAAAAAAGGTGAAGTACCATAAAATATATTAGCCAGTTTTATTTTCTCATTAATAGCAATACTAATAGAGTCAACGACGGAGGCGTTTTATTTGGGCTCTTCCAAAGCATCCAGCATCCATAGGGGGGTATTGTTAAGACATATCCGCAACCTTTTTATAATACATCTCTATAGGTTCTTTTTACTACCTACAATTTCAAGTTCTCTAGCAACATAACCCGAAAACTCAATATTTCTAGGTACATAAAAAGAACAAAGCCCCAAGGGCATATATGCCAAGAAGTCCTACTTGAAACAAGCAAAACAGAGCAAAAGTTCTCAGTAACTTCTACAGGGTTCTAATTGGTTTTTAAATAACATTAATTTCTGGCTAATCTTGTAAAGTCAGGACTAAACTGAAGCATCTCTGCGTTGCTCCCTCCAACAGCAAAACAGCATGTCGGCACCTGGCACTTCATCTGGAAAGCGCTCAGAGACACTCGGAGAACGAAGCTGCAACACATCTCAAAACTGCCAGTTTCGAGCTAGGGAGGTACTCTGGAGACGAAGGCCTTACGTCATGGTGACAAGGACAAGAGCCAACACTTGTGGAATCGTTACAATCATGTCAGTACTTCACACATTCCCAAAACAACCCCATGAGACAGATTTTACAAATGAGGGAATTTGCGCATCTGCAGGGAAAAGTTTTTCCAGGTGAATAAATGTATTATAGGTATGTGGTAAATTAAGAGAAGTAGGAACACTGTGTAAAACACAGGTTTGGTTTCGGATACAGAAGACACGTATACGTTGAGTCCAATTGTACAAATAAAAGAATTTTCCTCTGAGCTAGTTAATCAGCCAAGACTTATTGAGTACTGCCTATTTGGCAAATACTGTTATAGGTACTTTATTTATGTCATTTCATTTAATCTTGACTGTAAACAAGCATGGTTCCTTTGAACTCTTTCACATAACTGCTGTAAGTGAAACCCATCTCCAAGTAGCTTGGTGAAAGGATATTGGGGTTCCGGCTACAGCAGTTCTATGAAATAATTCACAGAACCAGGGGGTCAGNAAAAAAAAAAAAAAATTATGTTACTAGTCTCACCCCAGAAAACCTGTCTATTACAATATAATTTAGGCATAACCAATAAGTCATTAAAAATAATTCCCACTCCTAGTTAGCTTCTAGAGAATTACAAGAGAATTTCACTTCCAATCTGACAACCAGAATAAACCAGCTGATCTACAAAAATCAGTATCTTAAAAACCCATCATACAGGTAAGGATACAAAGAAACTTAAATGACTTAAATTCTATAAAGTAATGAGCCCTTTCAAGGAGAGAAGAGACCTAGAGCTAGCTTTCATTCCTGGTGGACCAGTAGGAGGAAGAATGTGCCACAGATGTGTCAGGATAAGCAAGGTAAACTTTAACAAATTTACAATGGCCACACATGGGCTGGCATGATAATTAACTTACTGAGAAGTCCCAGCCACAGGGAAAATCTCCACCTACCCACCAGCTCTTTTCCACTGGCCTTCGCTAAGTCTACAGGGGTGTACACTGAAAGCCAGATTGCAGGACAGGAGCCAGAAATCTCCTTCCTGAGGCATGCTGGACCTTTCTCCTTAGTGCAAGGCACAACCCACAGAAGGCTGGGGGAGGGACAGGAAAGGTGACAGAAATCCCTCCAATGCACTTCAGGTCTTTATCCAGTGCAAGGCAGCAGTTCTCAAGGATGGTGCTAGGGCAGGAGAGCTGAGATAAATCCTTGTGAGATGCTCTTGACCTTCACTGACGTGGCCTCTGAAGGCTGGAGACAGGACAGGGCAAGAGAGATGAGTTGCAAAAAGCCGGAATAGGACTGAATGGCAATGAGAACTCCCCAGAAATCCAAATATCTGGTAGCTGTAAAGCATAGAGAGATTGCCATGGTTTGTAGGGCTGGAGATGGAGATATAAAATAAAGAGAACTCTGGAATATCCCCAGATCCTGAACCCTGCTGAAGGGAAAAGCCTGATCTCTTCCTCAAAGCTTTAAGTGGAATCTAATGAAAGTGACATCCGATTCAGGATCTCTGAACTCCACTCTTCCATAAAAATAATGACAACACTAGCAAAACTCAAATCAACTTTTTCAGAACTCTAGAAATTAACAAAAGACTTTCGACTATCTGACACACATTTAGCCAAGAAAAGTGGGTGAACCTCAGTAAGAACAGTGCGCTTTGTGGTGTGTTAGCTTGCCCTGTTCCTGTCTCTCTCCCCACCTCTGTGGTAGTCTTGAAAAGGAGCTGCCCACCATGGTGGTGGAAACCATCAGTCTATCAACCACCAAGGGGGAAGAACAGGGTTGGAGCTCCCCAAAAGCCCCACCCGTGGAAAACTATCCATACTCACCTGTCTAGCAGCTCCCTGCAAAGCTCCATTCTTAGAATGGTCTTTCTTTGACTCATTCAGAACTCCTGTGTGCAAACAGCACTACCCTGGGACCCTTGTCAAAGAAAAATCAGCAACACTTGCTTAAGATCACAGCTGCTTGAGGCAGCAAAACCAGCCAGAGCTCACGTGAGGATGACCAAAATCTGAAGGAAAAACTGGGAATGAGATGCCCAAAGAAGGTTTTGAAAAGCTCCAGTGTATGCCTAGGGCTCTAGAAGTCCACACACATGTCCAGGAAAGTCGGGAGAAGGGCCTAATCTCACACGGCGGGCTGACGTTAAGGTTTTGCATAAGCAGAAAGGAAAGGCTAAGGCACACGTGGAAGCTGTCTAGGGCACTGAAATCATGCCCAACATGCACACAGAGTCCCTGGGCAAAGGCTGACATAATTACTTGTTCACGGCATTTAAGAAACCTCTGTCCGATCATTACCTGACCACAAGCTACCTGAGGGGGAACTTCAGAGGCTGCACATGGCAAAGAACAGAGACTTGAGAAAAACCATCTATGACAGTCACCAAACAAACAGCAACAACAAGGAGCAAAAACAACTTTGGGGAAGGGAGGAATCTGATTTCTGGAGCTGCCACATTAACAACTTATTATGTCTGCTTTTCAACAACAACAACAACAGTAGCACAAAGAAATAGGAAAGTATGGCTTTACAAGAGAAAAAAAGCAGTCAATGAAAACTATCTCTGAGGAAGCCAGGCATTAGACTTAGCAGACAACACTTTAAATCAGCTATTATAAGTATGTTCAAAGAACTAAAAAGAAAGCATGTCTATAAAATTAAAGGAAAGCATGACAACAATATCTCTCCAGAAGATATC